ATGTAAAAAACATCAAAATTCATTTAAATAACCTCTAAAAACTTCCTAAATAGATTTCAAGTGTTTCTTTTCAGTAAAACTTTATATTTTATCTGTTATTTTCTCTACTCCAACTCTATACAAGGTTGGTCAATTTGACTGACCTTGTAACCACCAAAAAAATATCTAAATTATCTTTTTTTTCTTTCTGGAATGACTTCTAATTGTAACATGAAACTACATTCGTTTATCCTAAGTAGTTTTAAACTCGTAATGGTATACATCTATTTATACTTAAATTTGATTCTTTTATTGCCCTTTGAACCGTGTGTAACTACTATTCACGGCCCTATATGTTTTAAATCATTAAGGGAATGTGGATCTCACGTTATGCCTTGTGAAATATTTTTATTATATTATTTATTTTACCTAAACTAACCTAAAGAGATCCCTGTTTTTACATTTTTAGTTTATAATAATAAATAAAGAATAAACATGAAAAAACAAGAAATAAAGTACTTAACCGAGTATTCTTTTGATGTTTTTTTGCTGTCGACTGTGGATGACACTTAACCCTACTTTTTTTTTATACTAATGGTAGTAATGCACTAAATTTTTATTCAATTAAATAATGCACCAAAGAACATAGAATAATAACATGCAAAAAGCAGACAATTTCCCCTAACTATCACAATTATTCTGGCTTTCTAACTATGTGACAAGAGCCATTACAAATTCATCCAAGCTAGTTTCCCATGAGAATGAAGCTTATACTTCAGAGAAAGAAATTGACAATTCTCCATTTAGAAAACAATGTAATATAATACACCATTTGAAAGATGAAAACCTTGGTTTTTTTTTTTATTGGTTAAACATAATATAGAATTAAACGTAAGAGAGAGAACTATTAACAAATCCTGAAAGAGAGGCTGTGATAGGTGGGTGTGGCAAGAGGGGTCTGATTTTCTATTTGATGGCTCTGTAACCAAACAAAATTGAAGGCTATAAAAATTATGGTTTGTCTGAGCAATGATGATTTTTCAGTGAGTAATTTACATTAAACTTCATACTTATTGGAGGGGTGGTGAATAAAATAGAGAAGAGGGGCTGCCTACAGAAAATATATTACAGAAATATATTTCTCGTACTAGGGGAAATTCAGGATTTTTAAAAATATTGCCTTATAAAATGAAGACCTTAAAACTTATATCTAATTAGAATATGGATTATAAACTACAATTTTATTCTATACTATCTGGTATACCATAAACAAAAAAGTAGTTTAATAAAATTTTGAATGTAAGTCACAAAAGCTTCGTGACACGTGCAGTAAATGATACCAAGGCAGAGAGGGTTAATGAGCTTGGATTCAGATTATCTAAAAACACAATACCTTGTAAACTAATAACACTACCCAACTACATTATACATCAATTTCAAGTTTAAGAGAGGAATATCTTGAAAGAATTTTTACGTATGAAAAGAGACATCATTGAATAAGAAATTGAAGCCAGAGTTAAACAAAATGATTTCAACTATTAACTTTTCTTTTTTCTGAATATCTAGTAAAACCACAAACAGATGTCCTGTGTATGTTTCACAAGATATTCAAAAAAAGAAATTCTACACCCTCACCAGCAAGTTAACACCTGAACTCTTTTGTTCAGCTCTGGTTTTAATTTTCTTAATCAGGAACATCTCTTTTGTGTGTGCGCACGCGCGTGTATATATATGAGAGAAAAATAAAGAACATGTACAATTTTGGATTTCGATATTTTCATAATTTACCCATCAATAATTTTTTTTGGAGCACCATTGCATAGAATAATCATATTTCTATCCGATAGAGAGGTTTATCAACTTTAGGTTTTATTACGACTACTTTTCAAAGAGAATATTACACACAAACAGTGCATTTTGGTAACAATGCATTCCAACAATGGCTTTTATGTCAGGTTGCTTAGCAACTAAAGTATATAGGTTATACTTTTATGCTACAATGGGTTCACAATATACATGCTATCAACCTAATAAACGAGCGAAGCCGGATACCTTCACTAATACAAAATAAAGTTTGTTATAGTTGTTTTCTTCATGCAAAGCTACATGAGGGGCTATCTGCACCCTGTGTCCACTACAAGTTTTCAAACTCCAGATTTGAGTATTGTAAGTTCATAAACTTACTGGTGTTCCCACTGGAAGACACAAAATAAATGTTTTATACATCCACTAGGGATGGATGTTATTTATTGTTTAATATAATTGAAAATCTCATATTCTTTCAGCTACGACTGTGTCACAATAACAGTAGTTTAAGATAATGCCACCTTATTTCAAGTATACAGAATCACCTACCTCCAATAGCCATGTAGCGGAAGAACAACCAGCCGGAAATAAGGGATTCGTCTGCCTTACGAGGAGGACGTTCCATAATATCGAGATCTGGAGGGTTAAAGCCCAGGGCTGTGGCTGGGAGACCGTCAGTAACCAGGTTCACCCATAACAGCTGGACGGGAATCAATGCTTCTGGTAACCCCAAGGCAGCCGTAAGGAAAATGCTGAAACCGACATATTAGCCGTGATTATTTTATTCCATAACTGCAGATATTGATACAATTAATAGTTATTTCACATAATTATATCAATATAAATATGCATTTAGTTTAATATACGATATCACAAAATGAAGTCCAAAGTTAAAATAAATTCATCGCTCTTCCATGTAATCATATAGGATAAAGAAAAAAAACTTGCTGAATCACCATAGAAGAAACCTTTTGGAAGATAAATCCCCCTTGTTTATTGTAGATCTAAAACCAAATCTTCGGCCTTTTTTTTTTTAAGGCTAAGAACACCTTTTACAGTTATCAACCATTTACTTTCAGAAATAATATTTTTTTCAGTTATGTGCTCTTGTTATTTACCTTACTACTTCGCCGATGTTTGAGGAGATCAGGTAGCGGATAAATTGTTTCATGTTGTTGTAGATGGCTCTCCCTTCTTCAACAGCTGCTACAATTGAAGAAAAGTTGTCATCAGCTAACACCATTTCCGCAGCTGACTTGGCAACAGCTGTTCCCGAGCCCATGGCAATACCGATTTCAGCTTTCTTCAGGGCAGGAGCATCGTTAACTCCATCACCAGTCTGGGGTTGGGGGAGACATTAATTAATCCATGTATAATATTAAAAGGCTGTGTTGAATAGCAAGAAAATCAAAACTAAATACTAACTGTCATGAATATTTCCAACTTCACAGTTTATACATACAAAGTTTAGCAAAATCACAGTCAAAAAATTTATTTACTTTGATAAAATTGTTAAAAAATATGCTTTACTTTAAACGAAAATTGTATCTTTCATTGTTCAATTGGAATGCTGGCCAATCACAGGTTATATTATTCAATACTACCTATTAGTAAACTGATAAAACTTTTAAATACTGACCAATCACAGGTTACATTATTCAATACTACCTATTAGTAAACTGATAAAACTTTTAATACTGACCAATCACAGGTTACATTATTCAATACTACCTATTAGTAAACTGATAAAACTATTAATACTGACCAATCACAGGTTATATTATTCAATACTACCTATTAGTAAACTG